ACGTGCAATTTGCCGTTGCACATTCGGGATGCCTGGACGCTCACCGCGAGAGCAGAATCGACGGGAATTATGCTGCGTAGACGCAAAACTATCGTTACATATATATAATATATAATATATATATTCTACACTAAAATTAAATATACTATATATATACACACTCATTCCAAACTATATTTTGACATAAAGTATCGACTCCTAGACATGCTGAATTGTGCGCACACGACCCCAGATGGCGACCTACCTCTAACATCACGACACACCCATTTCAACACACCAAGCACAGCACCACATGACGTAGAAACATACCAACACGTAATAAGATATAGCAATTTGTAGACAGCCGGAACAACAGCACTATCAAACACTTATATGCACATCACTGACACAAACTATTTTGATATTCACGCGCAATCTCACGAACACAACACACTTTGCCAGCGCCGTGGAAACTAGGTGTCAAACTTCCACTTTCTTGTTTCAGATTTCGGCCACAGTGGGAAGTTCCCAAAGCTTAACACAACCTCCGAACTAACACGTCTAGCCCAACGCCATCGCGAACCGTGAGAGTGATACAACATACAAACTTCCGTACTTGTAACCCCCCTCGCATTTCTCACACCGGACGTCACACACCCACAACACACAACACAAACACACACACAGCACACAAACAAATCACGATAACAATCGGGTATATTAGGCTCGGTTGCGTTTACTCGGCAAGGAAGCTATACTCGTGCACGTCATCGAGCTACAACAACAGACCGTAAGAGCATCCAAACGGACCGGGTAAACTCTGTTGCCGCACCCTGACAGCATACAGGTCCTTCAAACGACGCGTCAACTGTGTCGTTGTCACGCCGGACCCACAGACATCGAGCCTAACATCGTTGTATAATCCACACAAGAATACACAGTAACTTGATAACATTTAGAGCACTCACACGATCTAAGACTTACCGTGGGCACAGATACACACTATATCAAATAAAACCACTACACACCTACGCCGACTTGAGAAACCTGCCCCTTTTGCTGGTGCTCTCCTACTCCCAGATTACTTCTGCTTCTCAATATTTTCTCTGATACGCGGATCACTAGCTTTTGCTCGATCATCTAATTTACATGCGTAAAAACAGCACGGTATTCCTAATATATGTCACGTCATATTGCTTTGATAATGCTCCGCCTAAGGCTACTCTCCCAATAAGCCAACATACTCAAAGCGAATCCCGATTCCCTCATACACCTCGCACTCCTTTTACTTTCTTCTCCCGATCAAAGAGTACTCGCTGGCATTGCCTCGGGCAGCTAGTGCTGGCTCTCGTCTCCGTGATATACGCTAGATCCTCCTGCATTGATGTAAAATTTTCCTACACCTCCTCGACTTTCTTCTTTTCGTTTGACGACTACCTCCCCAATCTATTTTTCCAATTCTATCACAAACTCACCTGGGCCCTCGTCACCCCGCGGTCCCGTATACTTCAACTCCTTCCAAGATCGTGAACAGAACTCGTCTCCATCAAATTCCACTCATGCCTCTCTCCTGCTCCAAGCACGCCCACTAGCCTTTAATTCACTCAAGGGTTATGTAGTTCCGCATCTCCAGCCGTCCCACCACTTACGACCCCACAGCAGTCAAACCGACATCTACGCAGATCCATTCATTAAGTAACGGTCATGCCACTGACCGCTGACTTCCCAAAGCAGAAGCTCTTAGAACAACTGCTGAGGCCAAACACAGATACCTACTCAACAACCGAACACCCTAACTCAACAGCAAACGCCACCAACAACCACGAGGCGCCAACAACAGGAGGCACCAACAACAGAAGCAACCAACAACAGAGGCGCCCCACAACAGAAGACACCCAAACACACAGTAAGGTGACTCCCAACGAACAGAAGCACCTTAACCAACAGAGGCACTAACAACTAGCGCCAACACACAGAAGCAACGTTCCAAACTCAAACAGAGGTCGCCAACAACAGAAGCACCAACATACCCACAGTCATCACTCAACAGAAGCAACCTTAACACGTTCAGAAAGCACCAACAACAGAGGTCGCCAATCTCAACAGATGCCCATTACCACGAACCAGAAGCATCCCACAACAGATAGCACCGAACTGAACAGATCCCCACTCCGGCGCCAACGAACAGAGAGCACCAACAACAGAGGCCCAACAACAGAAGCCACCAAACAACAGAAGGCCCCCACAACAAACATCCAACAACAGAAGCACCAACAACAGAAGCACCAACAACAGAGGCACCAACAACAGAAGCACCAACAACAGAAGCACCAACAACAAGAGCAACTTTACAACGAGACAGTCACTCCCAACAACATCAGAGCGACGTACAACGTCCAGATACTGAGCCTCATATTGGCGGTAGCCCTCAAGTTATAACAAGAAACAGACTATTACCGCGCATCCTTATCTTCTGGATGCAAATACAATTTTCTAGAAGCGCCCAGTACACCCGCTTCAAACCACAGGGGGTAAACCTATAGAACCTTACCAGCCCCCAAAACCAGCCTACCTCCGACACCTAACTGCCAACAGCTGGGCCAGCCGTATAAATAAATCGAATTACGAATCCCCTAATGTATAAGTGCGCCACCAGAGTATGAGAGTGTGGATAGGTTTACGATAAAAACGAACCTACTACGGAACCATATATAGATCATAGAAGAAGGGGTAGAACCAAGACCCAACACCGCCATTCCATTGTCCCTCTCATCTCGCAGAAACAACTGCAGTTGCAGGATGGAGACGTTGAGATGATGTAACTGACGCCAGTCGCTCAACTATTCCTTCTGGCCTTACGTGATGATCATCGATTTAGGCTTTAGTGCAACTTAAGCGCCACCATACATCTCCGCGCATAGCACAGCAACTTCTCCCGTCGACCCCCACATTCAGTCATTGCCAGACTTCGAAAACCGACAGTAATGGAGACTTGCAGACACCACCAGTTGACAAAGACCACCAGTAGACAAAACCACCTCAGTTACGGCAGAGCCACACATAATCAAGAACGCAGCCGAGTAACAAGACCACCAGTTACTAGACCACTACAGTAACAACGACACACCAGTGACGAACCCACCAGGTTACCAGACCCACGACCTAGTAACAAGACCACCAATTACTCTACCTTCCACGCCGTAAGAGAAGAACCACCAGTTAAGCTAGACGCCACCAGTACACAAGACCCAACACAGTTACCAAAACCCGACGCAGTAAGCAAGACCACCAATAACCAAGACCATCCAGTAACAAAGACCACCAGTGTACAGCAACCACCAAGAACATCACACCATTTACCAGATGCCACCCAGTAAATCAAGAGCCCACTCAGTAACAAGACCCCCAGGTTACCATACAACCAGTAACAGAGACCACCAGTGTACTTAGAACCACCGGTAACAAGACCATCGCCATAACAATAATACCACCCAGTTTACTCAGAGCCACCAGTAACGAACGACCACCAGTTACCAAGACCACTCAATAACAAGACCACCAATAACAAGACCACACAATTTACCAGACCACCAGTTACAAGCCAGCACCAGTACAAGACCGCGCCAGGTTAGCCAAGACCACCATAACATTAGACCACGCAGTAACCAAGAGCCACCAATTCCAGACCACCAGTTAAACAGACCCACCAGTTAAGCAAGGCCACCAGTGACAAGACCACCAGTTACCAGACCACCAGTAACAAGACCACCAGTTACTAGACCCACCAGTAACAAGGCCACCAGTGGCAAGACCACCAGTTACGGAAACACCTGTCGTCGTTACAGGTTAGATGTCCAAACTCAAATTCGTGCGTTCGTGTAGTCGTCATTTTATTACCAAAGTTCTATAAAAATCCACGTTTAACTCCTTCCATATTGAGTTTTTCTTAGTTTTCGGATATAGTGTTCATATGATATCGAACCTGTGCATCAGTCTTTGCATTATAAACTGAAAAAATCTTATCGTACACCTACCTTAACGAAACCATTGTCTCGTACTGTGTAAAAATATCGCTCACTTGCTTTTTATCTTACATTATAGATATCAATGTCCTGTGCTACCCGCGTGAACGCTCGCTGAAGGCAGAGATCACTTTCAGCGGTCCATTCACGGGGTCCGTGTCAGCGAAGGGATACCACGATAATTCTGCTTGCAGCTTGCCAATACAGCAGCAGTCGGGTACTCACATTACGCTGAGGTTTGATAGCTGCGGAATAAGACGCAAGGTAATTAGGTGCACATTTTTATGTGTCGCGTCTTTTCTATTCGTGAATTTTTCGTGATGTTTGTCACAAACGAATATTCGTTCGTAGTCGGTTTAAACCAACGAACCTTTCGCCTTTCGTTAGCATGTGCCAGGGCGATTCCAACGCCTATTTGTCGGGAACGACCAAGGTTCTATGGGAATCCGTGCCTTGCATAAAATTGGACGGTTGATTGCCGTTATCCTAGCAGCCAGCATGGGATGTCAGTCTTACATGTACCTCCTGCCTATATTAGCATTTCTAATCGGTAATTCATATACAACTAACTACCGTGCTTTCCCTTGACGTTGTTTAACCGTGGTTTCGCAGACGGGCATACCAGGGAAACACCAAAAGGTTAAATATTGGCTGGAATTTGAAATTCTAGCTGCAACATCGTCGTTTGCGTCCGAGATCGGTTGTGAATACTATCAGTTCCTAGAGGACCAGTACGCGTAAGTCGCTAGCATCCGTTGCATACGCAGTAAAATTATATAATAAATGCTTATAACAGGTCTGAGAACCGCAAGCAGTGATATTTTCTATATCGCGGCAAACGTTAGTTTTTTCGAGACGTATAATGACACGCAAGTCCTGTGTCAATTGCTTCCCGTGAAGCATACTTCCAGTGGCACGTGTATTCAATAACGTAGATTTCCGGTGGCACGTGCTTCCCGTTATGTGCAGTACTTGTGGCACAAAATTCCCGTGACGAATATAGTTCCGGCGGCACGTGCGTCCCGTGTGACGCGGAGTTCCAGTGATACGTTGTTTCCTGACGCGTTTATCTGTGTTAATTTGCAGAGCGCACACGCCGTCACCCCCATCGCACTACCCGCTACCGACAGTGAACCTGTGGGTCGAACCTAACAACAATTCGCCGGCTACGTCTAGCCTAAACATTGCGCTGACCGATAACAGTTAGTGTCCGATCTTCGCGCAGTATGCAGTAGCCGAGCGTAATCCGTTACGGGGGACGCAGATCCCAGTCGTTACTCTGTTATACTCTCTTTGTCACTAGACTAATCGAGCTGGTTAAAGGAAAACGTGAGGCTGTAAAGACAGCGAGGAAGTACGGTTCCGACTAGAGGGCGTTTTCATCAGGTTCTCCTAACTCCCACTAACTAAACCTGCGATTTCAGCGGTAACGCGCACACACGCACGCGCACACGCGTGCGCACAAGCACAGAACGCTTTCCGTAATTTTTCTCTATGTCGCACGTGTGCAGGTAGGTTTGAGCTTGCCGTGGGACAGTGCGAAGCCTGGGATACCGCTAGTAAACAAGGGTTCATTCTCACGGATAAAAATGGGTAAGATATGGAGATATTATAGAGGTATATTATATATATCAGGAGTTAATAAAGACAAAGATTTATCTTAAAGATTTGTCTTTATTAACTCCTGTATGTATATATATATATATATATATATATATATATATATATATTGATATATATTGATATATATTGATATATATTGATATATATATAGTAGAGGTAAATAATATTATTTCATCTTACAATCTGGCATGTTTCCTCCACCTACTTCCGATCCTTGTTTTTTTTCTGTGGCGGGAAAATAGGAGGAGAAATAGTCCAAAGGCTAGATAAGAAAAATATATAATGAAGGCGCGCTCCGATTGGTGAAGCTCCAAAGGGTAGTGCGTCCAAAAATTTCCGGATTGGCGCGATCATGGTGACTTGTCTTTCAATTGATTGGTTTAACACTTGTCGTATCAACGGTCAGGCAGTCAACAATACGCACAGAAATGTGTTCCGAACACCCATCCAAACCCGGCGAACAAACAGCATTACCCACGTACACGCAAACTAACTATAAACCAAGGCGGTTATAACGCAACCTATATAGTCCCTTAATATAGGGACTCTAACGCAACCCTAATCACGTCGCCATCTGGTGTCTTCATTTCTACAGCTGCTCCATCAACAAGGACGTGATGACGGACTTGGTGACGTTAAAGAGTCGCGCTCTGGCGTCGCCGCGGACGCTTATGCAGGCGTATCTGAACAACCAAGTGTTCCCAGCCAACCGCGAGTACAGCGTTACGTGCAACTACGTTTTGTGCGCGGGAGTGTGCGATACCGTAAGAAACATTATTCATTAGTATAGAATAAGCAATATATAAGTAAAAATAGTCAAGTTAAATATATAATATTCTCTCTCGCGCGCGCGCTCTGTCACTCTCTCTCTCGCTCTCTCTCTCTCTCTCTCTCTCTCTCTCTCTCTCTCTCTCTCGCTCACTCTCTCTCTCTCTCTCGCGCGCTCTCTCTCTCGCTTTCTTTCTCTCCCGTTCTCTCTCTCTTTCTCAGTTACTCCTCTCTCTCTCTG